GATAAAATATCGAATCCTTTGGTTCCTCTCAGAAATCACAGACTATTGATCATAAAGGGGCCAATATTCAGTCAGCAGCTTACCTGCTTTTATGCTGTCACGCTGGTGGCTTCTTTTTGGTCCGCTTCATCGCATCGCTGTTGCATGTCTGAGGACATGCTTCTGAAGACGGGCTTTGGAGACAAAACGCGCTGCACAGGAGAAAGTGGAGAGGGGGTGGGGGTGCGTGAGCAAGACGGCGAGAGAAAGGGAGAGAGAGCCGTAAGAAGTAGGCTGGCTTCTCTTTGACGGTAACGACAGTCGTTATTTGCCTTTCAGATTCAGGGAAACCAGCCTGAGTTTAGTGCAGCAACACGTGATTTAAAACAGAAATCACCCGCAGCTTGAAAGAGTGCTGTTCGTCGGTACACTAATTAAACCCCATGCCAGGAGAATCACACACACTTGCCACGGATTTTCCGCGGTAAATCAGCTCATTTAGCCCGTTAGTATATTTTATATTGGATCTTTGGATTATATTTTAATTGGCTGGGGTGTACTTCGGTCTTAATCATTGTCATTTTGATTGAAAAGACAGAATTTTGCTTGTGGCTTTTCTCTTTTAAATAGTTCTTCCCATTTAAAAAAAAAAAAAGCCTGAGTGAGAGCTTCGCGTAGACTTTTGGATTCAGCACCAAGGAGAGCGAACATAAACGATAATAAATTAAAAAAAAAAGCAAAGCTTGCTCACCTTTTACGTCTGCAAAATCCAATCTTTTAATCGACGTGGATTTTAGTGTAATTTTAATTAAGAAACAATCTTTAATTATTCAAGTACTTTTTGAAAAGAAATCTAAATTCAAACAAAATAAGAACTGAATGGCTCTCAGACCTGCATCATGTATTTCTGTCTATGCATACGTGTCTTTGCAGGAAACCTGTTGATTATCTAAACACGTGGCCAACAGGACCTGCTTTGTGTCAAGTTGTATACATTGTATGGACTTAGTTTCCCCCCTTCTCTTTCTGAAGACGGCTCTCACAGCGGAATGACTCCTTTTATCATAACTGACTGGCGCTTATCAGATTTATCCGCTTAGCACTTGTTTGAAAGCTGAATTTCTGCCTGATTTATTACAACATTACATTTTCTGAACTGGACTGCTATTAAAGTCTTGGAGTGATTTGACATTATTCAGTATTTCTCAAAAAAAAAATCTGCCACACAGCCAAGATTTTTGGAAAAACACACAGAGGATGAGAATGTTTTACTGACATCTACTGGGGAAGTAGTTTTTAAAGTTACTCTGGTTCTGTGTATTTATGTGTTTGCCTATTAACAGGTCATCTGCCCACAGGAAGTAAAGCTGAAGTCAGTTTCATAGACCTAAACCAACCAGCACCCTTCCCAAGATCGCCCAACATGCAGGTAACACAGGTAAGTCTTTCTTCTTCTTCTTCCTCTATGCTGAATTTGATCAAATCACCATGAAGATTTTTTAGTGTTTTCTGATCCAGAGACAAAGAGACTACACACAGAGTCTCTTTGTCCTACCTGCCAATTAATTAAAATGTATCAAGTGGTACTAGTTTAGGTTTGGAAAACATACTGCATTTGAATTATTTAACAATGTGGCTCATGTAGCAACTGAAAAAAAATGCTAAAATGCAGAGAGGTTGCATATAAAGTGGGAAGGCTCTGCAGAGAAATGAAAAAACTAAGTAAGAGACAGAAGAGAGGCTGTTGTCATCTAGTGACAGATATCAGACATGGTTTTGCACGGCTATGAGAGAATAATACATCAGTGACTCATGTAAATGCTCCAGGTACGTGATAAATCCTTAAATCCCATCTGATTGCATGTGCCAAAAACAAGTAGGGTGACAACAAAAACATCCACCACATGCGTTAATTATTCCTATTCGCATTGCTTCTGACACGCACGACTCACCGTATATGCACATACGCTGCTCATTACTCATGTGAGTGCATGTGTGTGTTAGTGCTGCGAGCAGTCACCTAAATGGCCACAGATGCGTCACGTGTTGCATTCACACCTGTGTTATGCTGATGAACAGGAGAGCCTCAAAGGGTGGCTCGAGTGCACTGCAATTAGTTATAGAAAATCGCAGTTTTAATGGACTCGCTATTGCCCAATTAACAGAAACACGATGAACAAAGAGTCATCTAATGCACTATCCGGAAAATAGCAAACACATCAAAGTGCATATATAAAATTCAGCGTTAATGTACTTTCATGGCACCTGTGTGGCCGTGGTGTGCTTTAACTTTACTGAAATATAGAAATCTTGTCTTCGTCTCGGCTCCGTCTCTCATCACCTCTGATCCAAAGCCTTTGTACGCCTGCTCGACAAAGATTTCCAATGTACTGATTTTGACTGACGTCACTGAACATCTGGACCCATATAGTCAAATCACACGGCCAAGAAAAGCAAAGCCATGAAGGATTTCACAATGCTTAGCATAACCTATTCTGGAAGACATTAGAAGGATGATGAAAAGCACGATTAATACATTTAAAAACATGAGTTTCTTAAACTATCTTACATGCTTAATCTGTATTGAGAGATGCTGGCTGGCATGCCTCTTCCTTGCACATTGGAAGCAGCTGTATAATTGTTTTTCCGGCTCTCAGACATTAAGGCACATTGTTTTCATTTGAAAATAATACAATCTCATTAAGAAAACCAAATGCTGTCATTTCAAACCCAGCAACTGATAAAACAAATCACATTTTATTGTTCTGTTTTGGGGATGTCATGCATTTATTTGGGTTTATGAGGCCAAATCTGAATAACAAATTTGCACTTGTGATAGGTAATGTGTGTTTGCAAAGTATAAAATTTTTTATCTATTTTTCTGCTCGTGTATGCTTACCACAATTTATGTAAACAATACTTTTAATATTCTTAAACGAGATTTTTTAAATTGAAGAATAAAATAAGACAGCAAAGAAAAGTTGAAAAAAAAATGTAGTTTCTTATATGTACACATTTATTTACTGAAGTTACATGGTGCTGTAATACATAGCCACTAATGTAAAGGCAATAAATCTGGATCCAACACTTGAAACGCTTCCACTGATTTATATTATGTGGCTTTCTTATCGGAAATAGGAAGTTAATGTGAGTATTCTGAAATCAATATGTCTAAAAAATGCATGAACGTCACCATTATTTGTGTTTAACCACTTGAAGGGTAGTTAAATACTACAGTCAGCCACTGAGTGTGCTTGAGAATGCTTATTGATCAGCAGGCTGTCCATCAATGTGAGCAGCTGTCAAGAGACTTTAACTTGCTGTTGAAAAACCTGAAGTACCACTCGACTAAACAGAAGGATGAAGTAATCCCCTTGGTGTCTTAAACCAAGTCTCTCACCATAGTTCTCTATAGAAAGTATTTTGTAACGCTCCAAGCTGCGGAGAATTTGAGTGGATGAAGTAAGGCTGATCCTGTGATCACTTCTTTTTAAAAAAAAAACAAACAAAAGGGGAATCAGAGGTTGGTGTTGGAAAACTTTTAATTACTCTCTTTTCAACAGTTAACAATTCTGTTGGGATGAGTTGTCATTGCAGGCAAATGTGCTGTATGCAGTAGGACCATTTTGTCTCGATCGGGTTTAACAAGTCAGTGACAAGCTGTTCCCACAGTCCTCCCAGGACCAGCAGAACAAAAGACAGAAGCGAGGGAGAAAGGAGGGAGTAGAAGAAATACAATACACATGATTCGATAGATGGGATGGGGAATGGGATTCACCTGTAATTTAAGGAGCAGGCCAAACAACTGTCACAACAATTTAATGTGCTTGCTAATTAATTTTCTATCAGTATAGAAAAAACAAAACTATCTTAAGTTTGCATGTCATCGGGCTTTATTTTCAAAAAGCAAATCTTATTTCTCTCTATTAGTCTTTCTTCCCATACGCTAAACTTTGTATATATAACGCTAAGTAGGAATGCCAGCATTCTTTAAAAATAGTTCTCAAATTTGATTCATCCCTGTGTGAATATATATACTTTATGTGGGCACTGAGCATTAAGCCCCAAACAACAGCCCAAAGCTGTGTGGTGATTGGCAGTACACAATGTAACTTGCTGCCCAATTTGAGCATAAACGTGTTAAAGCACATAAGGACCAGCTGTACTGGATTATGTAAAAAGATGAACTGCTTTCTCCGTTGTCCAAGGTCTTTATAGAACTAACCAGCACTCATTTACAAAGTTCCTCTTCATGTATATCAAATCATACAGCTTGAAAGTATATGCTGGGATATCTATATGCATACATATTTAAACAGACATACAGTATTAAGTCAGATATGTAAAAATGTATTATTATTATTGTTATTATTGTTAATTTTGTCAAAGCTGTTGACATCAAAGAAGTACGTGCAAGATATCGCTTGGACATGGCCCTGGGTCATGGCAATGGTGAAAACGGCCCACTTCCAATGCTTGTGCGGGACTCCTTGGAATGTTTTTAACTGCACTGGGTGCCATTTTTGCTGTAGTGTCATGGTGTGAACATGGACTTTTTTAAAAAAAAAAAAAACCTTTTCCCAAACTTGTCACTTTTGCTGCCTTCTGTTTCCTAAATCTAAGCAAACAGTATGGAAAAGCACCCATTAAGTCAGCTGATGTAGAAATAATTGCTAGTAAAAGAAATTATTTTCATCCAAAGCAGTTGCATCAAATCAACTCATAGTTCTCTTTAGCAATAGTGAATTAACCTAAACAGTAAACGACTGAACGTGGCATTGCCCCCTGTCAAATGTCTTTTTAAGTCTCAGTCTCAAAACGACATCTTTATTTTACTTATATTTCAGCTTTAATTACTTTGCTTCTATCTTTTACAGTGTTTTCAGATTAAACTGTGTTCAGTATTGTCATCATGAGCACCACTTTTTTGATTGCTCATATTCAGCTCACACTGAGTCATGTCACTTATATTAAATGCAGGACAAAATCAGTGGAGGAGTGCAGATGGGGTGGAAAGAATAAAGTAGAGTTTTATTAGAAAATGGGATCTTTTCCAGATGATATCTCAGTCCCCTTAGCAACACATGGAAACACAAGCATTCAAGTTCAGGTACCTATTCATGGTCAGCAGATATTTATCTCAAAATATTGATTAAACTGTCTCATTTTTGGAGGTGGACTTTCACTTTAAGCTCACATTTTCTTTTTGTATAAAGAGAAGGGCTAAGGGAGTGAAGT